CTGTTGTCTGTGTCCATGGGTTATGCATTTATGCATATAAATTCTTTGGTTAATCTCCCCAAAGAATGGGTAGGGAGCAGCCTACCCATCCACCCACCCACCCAAGACAAAAATTCTTGTCAATATTTTCAGATCTCCAGAAAAGATTTCTTCCCCTGAAAGGCCACTTCTACTAATGGACCAGTTTAGTGTGGTTGGTTAGTTTGCTGCTTGGTTCCTCCCCACTAGAAATGTCTGTACCTGACATAGTTCCTCTTACAATTTATGCTCATTCTTTGGGTCTTTCGTGGAGATGGGAAAACATTGCTCATGATTCTTAACATGAGATCTTGTTTTGCAGAGAGATGCAGGATGTGTGTGTCCTCCTACTATAATTTGTGCTGTAATTTTTATTTCTCCCTCTCCACATACTCTGTGGTGGTGTCAATTTTGGGATTAAAAACCTGTGCTTTGGAATAATCTTTATCACAGAAATGTAAGATTTTTTTTTAAGGCATATGAGAAGTTACCTTTTCCACAATCCCAGGGCTTGCAGGAAGTTTGGTATAAATAAAGGGGTAACTTATTTCTAAAGTAGAGCATAACTTTATAGTACTCACTACCCTTCAACATATATTACAAACTAAACATATAATTAAAATAGAAAAGACATGTTCATGCTTGTCATCGTCTTTAATTTGGGGAAAAGGCATGTGTAGCGGCTCTGGGAACCTCCTGATATGTTGAGAACATGTCATTGAAGGACAGCAGCTCTGTTTTCCATGTCCTTTCCTCCCTTCCAAGTGTGGGACTGAAGAACTGTAGAGTGACCGGGGGCATTTCAGAAGTTCCTTTTAAAGGAATGTTTCTCTGGGTACCATTTTGATCCCCTCCGAAAGGTCCGTGAAGTGCCCAGTCTTGGCTTACTTTCTTGTTGGGGTTCGCCTGACTGTGGGCAAGTCACTCACTCCCCTGAGCCTCGGGTTTTTTTGTAATTTGGGAGATGATACTACGCACTTTATCCGTGGGGTTAAGTAAGGTGACAGACTTGTAAAATGTGTAGCGGTGCCCAGTTGGTAATGCTCAAAAAATATTAATGGTAGTGTTGTTTCTGCTGAAAGCATTTGATGAACCACATGAACCTACTGCCCTTGGACTCACATGGGGTGGACTTTTCTCGAGTGCGGATGTGGAGCCTCAATAATTGGTCCAAGTACTATCGCCAGACGCTGCTGTTTGGGGCCCTGCAGGATGCCCAGATCAACTCCGTGTTCAACAAGTACTGCTTCAACGTGCAAGGCCAGGTGCGTTCTCTCCTCTGGAGCTTCATGAAACTGTATTGTTTGGGTCGTGAGGAGGAAGGGGCGGAGAGCATTTGCTCAGTGATGGGGACAGCTCGCCACCTAATGCTCTCATTGACTCCTGGCAGGTGGCCGTGAGGAACGTCCCGATGACAGGCTCTATCAGTCATGTGCTGGTGCAGCTCCCACATGTCTTCCAGAGGATGGAAGCCGAAAACCTAACTTCAGTGATTGACACCAGGTACCTGTCCCTCCCAGTCCTGTCAGACACCTGAGGACAGGGATTTGATTTTGGCTTACCAGTTTACAACTGGATGCCATTCTGGTTTTATAGATTCCCATTTACCTAATGAGATGAGATCATTGATCCCAATCATGCCATTGTCAGAGGAGGAAACTGAAGCCCAGACAGAAATGGTGCTTTGGCCTGGTTCTCATAGTTAGTTAGTGGCAGGGTTAATATGGTAAATCAGGGTCCTTTCCCCTAGACTGGCTTAATACTGCAAAGTATGCAATGTCAGCAACTTAATTGTAAGCCCTTTAAGACGAGAACTATTTTTCTGATTCTCTCTGTAATTTCCCCATCATCTTATTGTGTTTAGTCAGGGGCCCCATGGTAGCACAGTGATGTTTAGCATGTGGGAGGTGTTCACCAATTATTTATTGACTGATGACAGATAATGAATGAATGAGTGAATGTGTGATATCGTTGGGTACTTTCTAGAATAATTTTCTGGGATAACTAGCATTCCATCTATTCTGTATGATGAATGATGTTAGCACTTATTGATTTGATGTGCTTATCAAGTTTTATTCTTACGTAGTCACTTTGTGATGAGGTGAGCCATACTGGCCTCTTTGGGGGAAGTAGAGGGAGATTGTGACTTGCCCAGGGTCACTGAGTTTAGTAGTGACGCTACGAGCTTAACTCTAGACCATTTACTTTGCCCTTTGCCTTTCCCAATCAGGTTTAACTTTTTCGTGAACAAGATTTTGCCTCAGTATCGTGATGCAGTCATGTCTCACACGCTCATCTATGTCCCCTCGTACTTTGACTTTGTGCGTCTCCGAAATTACTTCAAGAAGGAGGACCTGAACTTCACCCACATCTGCGAGTACACCCAGAAGTCTGGTATCTCCAGGGCCCGACACTTCTTCCTTCAAGGGGAGAAGCAGTTTCTGCTCCTCACAGAGCGCTTCCATTTCTACAAAAGGTAAAGTGGTGCCGGGTTCCAAGCATCGTTTCTGGGTGGAGGGGTGGTGGGCCTAATGCAGAGCAAATCCTGGCCTGCTCTGAGCACACGGCACAGGCACACGGTAGGCTTCGCGCCATTACAAGGTCTTCCCCCCCTCTGCCTCCTGCAGGGAATCCAGAGTTTGGGGGCTGGCAGACCCTTCTTGGTTGGTTGGTTTCCTCTCAAAATGAGCATTGCTGGGAAAGGCTATGGAGATAAATGAGTGACTGTAACATAACCGTATAGATCCGGAGTGTGTCCATTCATACTCGGGACTTTCTGTAGCTGTGGTCATACACCTCAAGAAAGACAGAGCTGAACAACTCTTAGCTGGGACAACACAGTGGATACAGGAAGGGGAGGAACCTGTCATAAAAGCACAGACACAAAGTTGGGGGCTGTGTCATCTGTGGAGATCGAAGCGGAGCTCAGTGTCAGTGTGAGTAAGCTTGGGTGTGTCCTGAGCACTTAGGCATGTGCTTACTTCCTCACCTGTGAGAACCTGGACCGGGGGCCCTTGATGTTTGCAGTGGCAAAAGGGAGGGGCTTAGAGTTGAATATGTAAGGGTTTCAGCCTTTGGTTAGCTTCCCCCCCGTGTGATTTTGATAAAATAAGTCAGCCTGGCCTTTTTTTAAAATTCTAATGAGAGTGTTGGTAATATTGAGCCTTCGGTTACTATTTGGGATAGTTGGAGCCCTTTGTTCCCCTAGTTTTGCTAATTCTCTCTGCTGCCAAATGAAAAAGCCGTTTGAACCCTCACCTTGAGAGAGATGGAAATTGCGTCCTATTACCACTTCCATCCTGATTCACAATAACGACCAGTGAATTTAAGTTCTGGCTGTCCTGTTTTATTAACTCTTAGTCATATATACCAACAAGGAGCATGCTTTCTCAGAGAAACGTTCCAGGCTTTGGAGCATATCGGATGGTGCGTCTTGCATTGCATTGCCTATATACTGATATTAGGGTGGTGCTCCCCAGACATGCTCTTGTTACCAAGGTGGGAAGGAGGAGCCCAGCAGCTTTCTGGGCAGAGTGGGCTGCTCTGACATGACCCCTCTAGGTATTCTGCTGACAAGGTGATCCGTGAGTGGAGAGTTGAGAAATGACTACACTGGTGTTTCGTGGGCTCCATCCAACAGACAAGGCTGCTGGCCAAAGAGTGCTAATGAATGCCTGCTTGTTGGCATTATTTGCTTTGTTCCAGCAAGTTGTTTTCATTCATGTTGGAGAGTGGTATTTGGGGGAGCTTGTACTCAGCAGGTCTTAAGAACCCGTAGTTTTCTATCAGCTTGACAGATGAAAGCAAGCCCTTGCAGTGAAGTAGGAAGGTTGGAAAACTTCCCAGTGTGACTGTCTTAGCAAGTGTGGATTAAGCTGGGATGAGGCCTGCTCTCAAAAAGCAGCTTTCTAAGGAGAGGGCATGACGTCCTACCTAAGAGAGAGGAGCCCTTCCTCTTTAGTAGGCAGGATAGTCCCCTATCTCACACTGGTCATTTATTTACCAAACCGTTTTTGCCTGCAAAGTCATTATGAAGACAGACCTAGCATGCCCTAGCATGTGCCATTTGCTTTATACCCTGGACCTGGTTAATAGGTGTACCCGTGTTGAAGATGAACGGAAAAATGTGCTTCAGAGTTCTGTAGCTGCTAATTATCTTGGGGTTTCCATCTATAGAATTTTTTGCTTGAGAGATCACCAAGGTGATGATGGATGTTTTGATCTGTAATGCCTTTGTGATTTGATCTTTTATTTGACCTTGGGGAAAGTACATGCATTTAAAACTTTACTGTCCAACACTGAAATTCTGTATTTATGTTCTCTATGGAAGTAGGCAGTGTTAGAAATAATACAATTGCTTTATGAGCTAGCAAAAAATTTTCAATCTGAAGGTGTGTTTTCTTTGAGGGAGATGAAACTAGTAGAGTCTTCGACTTGGATGGGCATTTGGTCAGGAGGGCTCTCCACAGGAGAGGGAGGTTCACAGTTCTTTCCTGAGCATTATCTGTGGGTTCCACAGCAGGGAGGGTCATCAGCCAGGGGGCAAGTCAGAAACTCTGGAGATGGGATTCCTGGAGTTGGGAACGGCTGCTGGGGTGGTTCTGAGTAACCCCTGCTCCTATATGAGAATCCCAGTCCTAGAATTAGTAGACCTGTTCTCTATAGACCGTTTGGAGGAGCCAGCCAATAGCCCAGCCGGCAGTCAGGTCTTCTTGCTGACCTCCCCCAACAAGCATATAGCTTCTGAAAACAAGAGCATTCTTTCATCTAACCACAACACCGTCATCAGACCACTTGGCATTGCTACAGGAATATCATCTAATGTGTGGTATATTCAGATGTTCCTGGTTGTCCACAGAATGACCATTGAAGCTGTTTCCCCCCACCTAGATTCAGTTAAGGCTCCTACATTGCATTTGGTTAACATGTTTCTTTTATGTATCTTAGTTCTCAAGCAGGGACAGTTTTGCTCCTTAGGTGACATTTGGCAATATCTGGAGACATTTCTGGCTATCACAGCTGGAGGGTGATTCTGGTGGTCTAGTGGTTTGAGTGGGTCGAGCGTGGATGCTGCTAAACGTTCTGCGGCGCACAGGACAGCGCAGCACAGGCACCACAACAAAGGATTGTCTGGCTCAAAAATGTCAGTAGCGCCAAGATAAAGAAACCATGATCTAAAATAATTCTCTTACTTTTTTTTTTCATGACATTGACATTTTTTGAACAGTTCAATCCAGTTTCTTATAGAAAGTCCCACTGTCTCAATTTATCTAATTGTTTTCTTATTTAAATCAGTGGTTCCCAAACTTTGCTGTACCTTAGAATCCCCTTGCAGCTTTTACAATGCCCAGGTTGTACCTCAATACCAGTTAAATCGCAGTGCCTGGGGCTGGGGACCAATCATAGATATTTAAAAAACGACCAGGTGATTCAACATCCAGCAAAGTTTGGGGACCACTGATTTAGGGTTAACATTTTTTGGTCAGAATTCTACATGGAGGATGTTTCCTGCTTCACACTGCTTCCTGCCTACCTTCTTGGCAGCTGTCCTTTTCCTGTTGGTGTCTGCCAAATGTGAAATAGTTCTCATGTCCTCTCCAGAGGGGCTTGTCACTCTGGAATACGGTCACTGGTGGCCTGAAGCTGGCCTATCCTGGCTCTTAAGACCTGGTTGCATGTCTCTTCTGACTCCAAGTTCAGCAACGTGACGTTGGTAGCTTGAAATAGGCCACGATGGGAGTATTTACACCACAGGAGTTGGCAGATGCATCAGATCAGCACTCTCCCTCCCCAGCACCCCACTGAATCAGTTCACCTGGTTGCCTCGTAACATCAGCTGTCTATGCTCAAGGAAAGAAATGCTTTCGCATGTCATCTGGGTTTTCTTGTTAGCATGGGAGCAATGTTCTCTTGAGTTTTCTACATACTAGCTGAAGTAGAGCTTAATGTTTGTTTTGTTTGTTTTAATAACTAGCGTGGCAGAACAGCTTACTCAAGTTCATTAGCCATTAGAATTCCTTTAGGGAAAGGTGATGTTGAAAGGTGAACCAAGGAATGGATTGCAGTTACAGTTTGAAAGAGTAGGGTCTCCAGAGAGATCAGGATCAGCCATGGAATAAAAAGGCAAGGAAATCTAATCCTCTGTGAATAAAATAAAATTCCCAGGGAAGCGTATAACATTAGCAATGTATGAGAGAGTTTAACAGGAAAAATCAGAACTTTGTTAACATATAAAATCTTTCGTTATGGGACCCCAGAGGGAATGATTGACCTTCACCCAAACCATACGGTGAGTCCCTAGGTTCCACCCCCTCCCACCACAACCACCACTGTGCAACTCTGTGCAGCAGGGAAAGAACTGCATAGGCTATTAAACTAATTGCTTTCCCATAATGCCTAATGGGTCCTCAGGCAGGATTTTGTAAATGGATGAACTTGGGACATCTGCTGTGGAGTTCACATGTCTATAGAGTGACAAGAAAAGACTAATGGGAAAGCATTTACAGTTTATTTTATGTGCTGGCTCTGACCTCATCCTCATTACAGAGCAGTCTGTTTGGCCTGCTTATGACAAGGATCATGTTAAACTGCAAGTGCTGCTTTGTAAGTTTTCTCTGACAGACTGCTAATCCTAAGTCTGCTCTATTCTCCACCCTACCTCAGTCTGCCCAGAGCAGGCTCAAGACATGCAATTTATTTTAGCACTCCCTTAAGCCAAATATTAGGAATTCGAATATTTTATCACAAAAATAAGCCTGTCAAGCTCTAATGAGAGTTACCTCCAGTGTGTTATTTGTGCCATTGTCTCCCCTTGAGCACAAAGCACAGGAGTGAACTGCACCCCTGCAGATCTCTCGGGTAGCTTTCCCAGACGTTTTCTCAAGTAGACATGGCCTCTCTTTCCCCTTCTAACAGGTACACTATAAAAGGCATCAGGAACCTGATTTTCTACGAACTGCCAACATATCCCCACTTCTATAGTGAAGTCTGTAACATGCTGAGAGCCACCAGCACAGGAGAGGAAGCCGCCTGGACCTGCACTGTCCTCTACTCCAAGTATGATGCCCAGAGGTTGGCTGCGGTGGTTGGTGTGGAGCGGGCTGCACAAATGCTACAGTCCAAGAAGAACGTCCACCTCTTCATCACCGGAGAAAGATGAGAGCTTGTTAGGCAGAAAATGGTATTTGGCATGATACATAGGCCTAATTCTGTGCCACTTGGACTGAATCCTGGCCACTTGTACAGAAGAACTGTTTGCTACAGGGAAGGAGCACCAGGCAGCACGTCTGATACTCTCTTTTTTCAGGTCATATGTCCCTGGAAAGTTCAATGTAAACCAAATTTTGGTAACTCCCATCTTTCAGAGGTCAGGGGGAGCTAATGGGAGGGACTCTGAGGAGTTGATAAAGGAAACTGCTACTTGTGAATCTTTGTGAGACATAAATTCTTTTATTGTGACTTTACTTCTAATTTATTACACTTAGTAAATTCGTTCAGATTTGCCTATTTCTGTTTGACACTTCAAGTACGGTGTACATGTCATTGCTTGCGAGACCTGGTAATGAGAAATTGGAAGACTTCTTGCTGCTGAATATCATCTTAATTTTGGATTGCACAGGTTTTTTGTGGGTTTTTTGTTTGTTTTTTTATAAAGATTTTTAAAAATTGATGTTTAGAGAGAGAAGAAGGTAGAGGGAGGGAGAGGGAGAGAAACATCTGTATGAGAGGGAGACATCGATCGGCTGCCTCCTGCGTGCACCCTACTGGGGATCGAGCCTGCAACCTGGACCAGGAATCAAACTGCAACCTTTTGGTGCATGAGAGGACACCCAACCAATGAGCCACACCAGCCAGAGCTGGATTGCACAGGTTTTGTAGAACTGTTATTTCTCCCCAACCAAAGGTTTTATAACTGCAAATATTCTATTTTAATTCAACCTAGAAGAGTTCATTCATTCACTGATTTTTTTAAAACTCACAATAGTAAGTGACTTAGTTAAAATATGCACTTAAAATGTTATATAAAATAACAATTTCTGTTGTTTCAAGAAATAATTTTGTGAAACTCTTGATGTTGAAATATCCATCTTCAACATCACCATCTTCATCATTGCTGTAGTCACTTTTTAAGTCGTATAACAGATAAAAAGGAAGTGGCACTTTTTGAAATATTTTCAGACAGAAAGTTAAAAATACAGAACCGGAACCATTTGAGAATAAGTTGCCAACTTGATGGGCCTGTCACTCCTTGAAAACCACCCAAGGACATTTTTCTGTGTAACCACAAAACAACCATCAAATCAGGAAATTGCTGTCACTACCGTATTACCATCTAATCCTTGGACCCCATCCTGGTTTGCCAGTTGTCCCAATAGTGACCTTCATAGGAAGGGGTGCAGTTCAGAATTGCATCCTGCTTTTAGTTATCCTGTCTCTGCAGTGTCCTTTATTCTGTAACTGTATCTCCGCTTTCAGTGGCTTTCCTTGACCTTGACCCTTTTGAAGATTACAGGCCAGTTATTTTGGGTGTTTCCCTGTGATTAGGTTTAACTTAGGCATCTTTGGCAGGAATAGCACAGGAGCAGTGCTGTGTCCTCACCAGTCTCGTCTCATCAGGTGGAGCACGATCTCCGGAGTCTCATCACTGAGGACACTACCTGACCACTTGCTTCAGGGGGTGTTTGCCAGTAGAACTGTTTTCCACTGTAGAATCATTCTCCCCCATACTTATTAATTTGTATCAGTATAGACCTGTAGTTTCACCTTTCATTCATTGGGTTATGATCCATTACTATCATTATTTCTTTAGATGTTTAGATGGTCTCAGGGCGAGCAGCCCACTCCTGTGACTTTTTGACATGACCCCCTTATACTTGGGCATTTCTTTATTTTCTGGCACAGTGAGACACTACAAGTCTGTCTACTGTTTTTCCTACTCCAGCCCTACAGTGGAAAATTATTTTAAAGTTAAGATTTGAGTGCTGGGTGTGCTCAACACTGTTGTGGGGCCACTGGTTCCAGGTCTCAGTGGTCAGAGCTTGGGAATCCTTGCGTGTGTGTGCATGTACACACACACACGTGCATACAGCGTCTACATTTATTTGTGTATCTGTATCCTGAAAGCCAGGAAGCCATACCCTGCCACCGATTCCAGTCTGACACCACAGGGCTCCTTTTTCATTTCTCCCTTTTCATATCTGTACCTCCCTCAGCTGGTGACACATGTGGCTTCCATTGTCCTCAGGGGAACAACCCTTAATAGCTACATATTTTCTTCTTCTTGGACACACTTAAAAATTTCTTATCAAAAAAAGCAAAATCACTTTTGGGCCTTCCTGCTGTTTCAATACGCATTTTTATTTCTTTTCTTAACATGGAAAGTAGAACTGTTTATTCCCTATATAGGGTGGGTTCCTAAAGTTGCGAAGTAGGTAACAGTCTTAAGCCCACTGAACTCATGCCAAGAAGAACATTTTATACCCATAGAGGGTCCTGTGTTTACTGGCATATTGGTGGTGCTATTTACCATCGAGCTTGTGTATGGTGAGAAAAGAAATGCGTTTATTTGCCTAGTTCAGAGATACAAGGAAGAAGGAATGCTGATTACCCCGTCTCCTATTTCCATATTCTTTCCCCTGTGGATTGTAGCTAACCTCCTGGCTTTCATTATCAGCATTCACAAGACTCCCAAATCTCCAGCTCCTCTGGACCTCCGCTCACCTGTGGGCTCAGATTTCAAGTCCATGGTGTAGCCTGGGGAATTCGTGTTTTAGTGAGTGTCCATGGTGATTTAATGCCGGCTTGTAGCCAGCCAACTGCTTCTTGCCTCCAGAAAACACTGAGGACTTCAAGTGTGAACAAAGTATTCCTTTTGTTCTTGGCTCGGCACCTGGGAAAGAAGGTGAGCTCAGCAGGTGGTCCTGGCTCCTGAGTAGAGCCTCTGGAATGGTTTCCTTAAAAGGATGCCCTAGCATCAGGTCTCTTGCACACACAAAATAAGGGAGAGAAGAGTCTCCTGGATTGCGGATAATAACGCCTGAGCTAGAATTACATGCTGTCTTGATATTTCTCAGCAAGGCTCCTTTGCAGCAACTGGCTAGATGGTGCCTGGGAAGATGTGGAATTATAAGGCAGGAAGAGGAACTCATCCAAAAAGTAAGACTTTTAAACTTGTTTCCCCTTCCCCATAGTAATAACTAGCTTAGCACTTTTCTTTTTGCAGGGAAAGAAGCTTTGAATCATGAATGCTTCCTACAGCTGGCTGCACCATGTGCAATATTCAGAAAACAAGAGCTAGCTAATCATAGAGAACCAGCAGCAGCTAAACAGCCCTCTGCTGGCTCCCAAAGGCTTATAATTGGTTGCAGATGGCCCCGGTGGGATGGGGAGTGTGTTCCTGCTGACTCCTCACACCCCAGTGGGCCAAGGCGGGCTCACGAAGGCTCTCAGCCCCGATTGTGCCCTCGTGGGGGCAAGAAGCCGGGCTGCCAAGGGGTTCAGGGAAGGCAGGCGGTGCGAGAGCCTGCTGGCTGCCTTCTGCCCAGTTTCCCCAAGGCCACAGGAGCAGGTCTTCAGGCAGCAGAGTTTAGATTTGACGAGTCTTGGGTCTCGCCACTGCAGAAGGCCTGGGGTGAGGGAGTGAGTTGCAAGTTCTTAATAATTATCTGAAGAGCCTCACTGGGCAACTGCAGGTGGCCATGAGGCGCGGAAGCTTCGGGAAGAGGAATGTAGTGGAAATGCACAGACCGCTCCTGTCGGGAGCATCCTCCAAGGGCAGGGCCTTCACAACCTGCCCACCCTCTCCTTCCACCGTCTCCTTCCAGTCTCCCGGCTTCTCTCTCGTTAAAGGCATCATGGCAGTGATCTTCATTACCACACGTCTGCTCCAGGCTTCTCATGAAACAAGCTTTTCTGGGAGCCTAGCTAAACAGAATTCTAAGCAAACTTCAGTCAGCTATTAATTGCAGAGCCAGTGCATTGGGAGTGGGCACACAGGTAACCCACAACGGATGGAGCTTTTGGAAGATGAAAGAGAGAGGATAGCTCACTCTTCCCTCTGGGCCTAGACCTTCCCTCCCAGGTGAATCCCACATGTTCAGCCGACAGGGGAAAGTGTGTTCCTTTCCAAAAACTTGCATTTCTTCTTCCTACACCGTGTGCTCTAACCAGAGCTGCGATCAAGTCTGCATTTTATGTCCCGCTTCTGGAGCTGAACACACGTTCCTGTTCGCTCTCCCAGGTTTGCTCTGTGTGTTTCCTGTGCATGAGGACTTTCCTGTCTTCACCATGGGAAGGAGCAGCCTCTGCTCCCATTGTGTGTGCTCCCGTGTACTTCCAGGGTTTCCCTGCACCGCTGGCCACGTTGTCATTACTTCCATGGGAGCTGAGGGCATGAGAAGGAACCGCTCCAGGCTTTCACTTTTTAAAAATGCGCTGGCTCCTCTCCAGAGGAGTCGGACTGAGATCTGATTGCCACAGGGCTTGTCCCCCTGCCCAGGGAAAGCCGAGCCTGCCCTGCTGGGCAGCTCCACTCAGGGGCCACCCCCCGCCGGAGAAACCCCTGCACCTGCTCATCTTCCTGATGGCCCCCACCATCAGGGGAGGGGTGACACACCCCTGGGCTGCTCCTCGTCCAGCTGCCATGGTCTTCAGCCTTGGGCCTCTGCAGCTGGCCGTGCCCGGTGGGACCTGTAGCCTCGCTGGCAGAGAACGGGAAGGAAGGAGTCTGCTGCTTGGCTGACTTGAAAGCTGCACTGATTTCCCACCAGTCTGTTGTCCCAACAGAGCCACACCAGAGCTGGCTACCTCTTGCCCACCCGGGGAGTGACACGGAGCCCAGTGTCCTGCAGCCCTTGTCCTCCCTGCCCTCACTGCCCTGACTCCCTCCGCAGAGATGGCCCTGGACTTGCGGCTGGTGGTGTCCACAGATGTGCATGGGCTTCTGCTCGGTGTTCTCCATCATTTTTCAAAGCTGGCACTGAGCCGGGAGATGGGACCCACATCACCACGGACGTGCTGCAGGTCCTCCTGGCCACTTCTCAGCTTCGTGGTCTTTATGAAGCAGGGAGTAATCCCCACTCTGCTGCCGGGGCCCGGGAGGGAGTGCAGGAGGCTGCTCTAGTCGGCCTCGTGTTCACCTCCTTCCCCCCTACAGAGCACTGGGTGAGACACCCCCCCCCAACAGGTCACATTTCCCAGAGCCCCTTACAGTGCGGTGTGGCCAGGGAAGGGCACGCTCCCCACTGGGCAGGCTTTGGGGAGCGCTCTGCAGCTCAGGAACACCCTTTCCCGCTTGCTCTTCCCCTTTGCCGGCTGAGGCTCCTGAGATCGCAAGTTCTGTGCACAGATGCGGAGCAGAAAGTGAGAGGAGCCCGGTTTCTGATCACATCTGGGGCTGCCGCACTGGTCCCACTGGCCTCCCTTTGCACTCATGTGGAAACCAAACCCCTAATCTGTTTAATTCACGGAGGCCAGGCCTCTACCGTTCGCCATTCCTCACTGATACAGAAGAGACAGGAGCAGAAA